GCAACCCATCAGTGGATGGTCGAGTGGTGAAATAGTGTTGCTCTATGGACCCTGGTCATCAGTTCGAAACTAGCTGATGGGGAGGAAGGGGTGCATTTAAGGTGTTACTCTTTGGGCTCTTAGGTGTACTCTAAAGGCTGCTTCCAGGCCTGAGGAAATGTAGGTTGGGCCGAAGATCTAGATGAATCTCTCAGTTATAAAAAAAATATATATGTCACTCGCCGCAAAAAACAAAATACCGAATTTCATTCCCGTCCTCAAGGTTTTGGAATTATACCAAAATCCACCCCAAACTTTTGAATTGTGTATTTTATACGATTAATCAGTTTTAATCAAGAGCTAATTGATATCACCTAGGAGAGTAGGAGGTATTGAAATTGAACAAATTCCTAACAGAAACATATACAACTTTTTAACCTAGGATATGATTATTGAAAAAAAAATTTTACGTCGCCATGTAACAGCCAAATAGTATAAGAAAGTTAGCAATACGAAAAAAAAGAAAAAGACAAACCATATATTTAAAAAAAATGTTACAAAAACAAATACAAGAATATGATAACTATATAACAAAAAGGAAATAGAGAGGTTAATCTTCTTGGGCCGATATCGAGAATAGCTAACCATACATAAGATTGGATGGCTAAACTGGTAAAGGATGAGACAAAACTTTCGGATATTTACCTAGGCTTTTCCGATCCTATGTAGTTGAACCGAAATATCCGGTGAATTTTCGGATTATAAAAAACAAACTAACCATAAAAATGCGATTACTAAACCTTCTTAGACTGATATTTCACTTTTTTTTTGGGATTGAAAAAAAAAACATTATTCAGATGACGAAACTGAAACGTAAAAGATAAAGATCAGGATAAGAGTAAAAGACCCAAAAAATTCGGAAGAAATCACATGGCTAATAAAATTAGAAAGAAAAAAAAGTGGGCAAAGGAAATGAGAATGATAATGATGTAGACAACACCTGAAGGGAACGATAACAAAACAAGTAATGGGTTATTTCATGGCCTGCCGATGAACACCGCACGAAGACAACGTGCTTGCATCAACTAAGAGTATTGTCCAAACAGTTAACGTGAAGCATGAGCAACTGTTTTCACAACTTTGGATATATATATATATATATATATATATCGTTCCTATATATAATTTTTCTCAAAGGTATGTATTTAATATAATATCTCTACTTTATAACATGTTTAGAACGTAACGTCGAAACTGTCTCCACCGACCAACACGAGATCTTTGAACATGTTTTGTTTTCGTTCGCACATTTTCCGAGAAATGCTTTTCATGAAACCATCCATCTCAAGACTATTCCAAAACGAACACTCTATCGGAATAGACAACCAAAAAATTAGATGTATTTTTCAATCAATTTGTTTAAGTTATTATTACTAATTATGTAGTCTCATACCTATGCAACCATCGGATTATTCTCATTCCAATGAGTTCGATTCATTCCCGTGTTCCTCCTACCTAGAAATATTCAAGAAGTCACTCCTTACCCATACCGTTTTGCACCGGTGATCATCCCTCATCGATATCCGAGATGTCACTGTTTCGATCTATTTCTCAATTTAGAGAGATGCGTGTTTTTAATTAATTTGACATTTGAAATATGTGAGATTAAATATCTCAACATGTTCCTCGAGTGAGTCCGTACGGAGAATATAATGGATGGGCGATTTTTAAAAACGAGTTATTGGTTTACATAGAACAAGATTTGACAATCGAAATAAGTATTAGTTCTTCTAAGATTTTGGGAATCTGCTCAAAATTCGATCTGTTTACAAGTATATGGATGCTGATCAAACACATACGGATTTCAAATAGATTTATTTTTTTTTCAATATATTTTTTGAAGAAAAATCATGCAGTTGGTCACTGATGATGCAATCAATATATATATATAAATATATAAACACATAAAATTGGTAAAGAGTGAGAATCATCATAGACCAAATCCAAATCTTGGATGAAATCTTTATGCACAATCTATTGTTTGGGAAAATATATGAAATAAAACAAAAAAGAGAGACCAAAGTAACTGTGAGTTCCATTAAGACTTTATCGAGGCAACCAATTTACTTCAAGGTGTATTCCATTATTGTTTACGTTAGTCAATTTTACAATTAAGTCTTTTCTACCACATTTCTCCGCATCGTGGATCCGACGTGGACCTTTTGAACAGAGAGATTCTCTATTACAGTCCCGATCATTTTTTTTTCTGAATAAATAAATTATTGTATTTATTAGGAAGTATCCAACTTTTTAAATTTATAAAATAATTACATTATTTTTTTAATTTTATATAAAAACAAATAAATTTTGAATTTTTTTGTATAAATCCAAACAAATTTTTATAAAAATATATAAATTTTGAAATTTTTTTTACATACATCCACACACAAAATTAATTGAGTTTAGTATTTTTATAGATTTACTAAAAAAAACAATTAAAATTTTTACACAAAATTAAAAGTTTATATATTTATTTACCAAATTTAAAAAATTCATTTTTTTCGATATATTCGAGTTTGGTAAAAGCTCAATATTGTCAAGTTTCGGTTTAAAATTTAAAATTTTATACCATAAAGAATCGTATCAAGATACGTAAGCATATTTTTTAATTATGCGAAATTCGACTCAGAGAGCTTTGGATACAAAAATTCGGATTTTAAAATATTAAAATCTGAAATATTCGACAGTAATTAGTCTTTTATCTGATCTGATTTAATTTGTGTATTTTTCCTTCGAATTATATATTTTTTTTCTCGTTCAAAATGACAAAAAGGGCAGATACTATTTTACCTAAATATTTATCCATTATAAGAAAGAATGGTGAATGAATGGCAATGGCATACATAATCATTTCGTCTTCTCTATGTTAACAAAAGAAATATTTAGTTTTAAAAAAAAAAAAGTGATTAGAAGTAATTATCGAAATTAGTGATGATCTTAATCACGAATCACAACGTGAAGAACGAATGTGAAACCATAATGAGACACCATTACTGAATTACAAACATATGCAAAGGATTTATAAATTACTTAACAAAATGAAAATAATATATATAATTTGATATTAATAAACACAGCTTCGAAGTAAACATTTAAAACTATCCACACTTGCACATACGTTTTTTTTATAACGACGGAAACCCGTTTCACAGTCGTTGGGCCGAACAACGTCTCGTTGGGCCGAACAACGTCTCACAGCCCTTCGCATCGGACGACTCGGACGGTAAATCCCCCCATTCCGCGCAATAACCGAAAACTATGCGTCATACGTAATAGATAAACTAGATGAAACTGATCGGTTCAAAGAGAAGTTCAGATCTCAGAAGAAATGGAACCCACAAATTCGTATAGAGGTATTTGTTATTTTTTAACTGAGGTAGGATTTTCCCACACTTGCACATATTGTATTTATAAAGTTTAGATATACAAAGACTTTATTAGTTAAAAAATATTTACGAGATTTTTATAAATCTCGTGTGGAGTAAACACAAAATAATTTGCAAATGAAAGTTATTTATCTCTGTTTATTTATAATAAAAAAAACATAGACAAATTTAAATGGGGTATTACTTGATTATGTATAGTATCATATTTGACATAAAGTTGTTGAAAACATGATTAAGGAAAGCGTTCATTGTAGTGTTATGGGGAATACAAAACATTAAACCGTACAAAAAAGCAAAATTATAAAGAGCTAAAAACGAAAACAATAGAAAAGTAATTTTCCAATTACGTTCTATTTTTAGGGAAATTTCCACCGGAAAAAAATAAAAATAAAAATAAAACAACTGGTATATTTCTATTAAACTTTATATTAATTAAATCTCATTCAAATAGTTGTTTGGTTAAAACTTTAACAATTTGGCATGATTTTATTTTCATCTTTCGTTAATGAAGAAATTAAGATTGGTCTTGAAGCAATAAGAAACATAGGGTGAGGATCGAAATTTGAAGGAAAATAGGATAATATTTTAATTAGATTAAGAGATCAAGCAATAAACATGCCCAACTGTTATTGTTAGAACAAAAGCTCAAATTAGTTAATCAGCTGTTCTTGTTGGCTTATTAGGGGAAAAACAATGTTGTCACGTTCAATTTGTCGGACGTGCAAAACGGAACTAAATTAATTTTCCCTAAATTAATCGAATCTAAATTGAATATAAAGATAATTTTTTTAATTCTCCACTCGTTGTAATGTAAAAAAGAAGATAATTTAAAGAAATAATCGAATAAAAATAAACAGTTTATGGATGGTCCAAATAAAATCTAACTATGCTATATCTCTCTATATATGTGTGTGTGTGTGTGAATCAGTTTCAAGTTAGAAAATGATGTGTAAGAGACAAGGTTCTATTGATTTACCGTCAATTTATCTTTTATTGACTACTACACATTAGACTGCAAGTGTTGGGCTCCATATTTGGGCTTCGTAAATGGGCCATAATAAATGGGCCGGTGGTACACAGCCGTGGGAAACCATTTCAAAATTTTAAAACTCGGAATTTTCTTTTCTTCCCTTTTTTTTCCCCTTCTTTCCAGTTGTCGAAAACAGCGGCGAGCTGAGGATTTATGGCGGGAACCGATACGCTTCCCCGCTGAAAAATCACGAGGAAGTAAGATCCTTCACTCTGTTTGTTCACCGAGAAAGAGAATTCTTGAGGTGTTGGATTGAAAAACGGTGGGGGGATGGGAGGAGTGGAAGCCGAAACTTCGTAAATTCGGGGGGATTCCAGGGCGTATGCTTTGGTGTTTTGGTCTCGGGACTCGAGTAATGTAGGATTCAGCCGCTGATTCCTGTTGTTCAACCTTCATTCCCTCGGAAACCAGAGAGGGGGGATTCTGCTGAGTGCTGATTCTGGGTAATGTTTTTTTTTTTGTACATAATGGAGTATCATAGATAATTATCATCCTGATTCCGGACTCCGGCCATGTTGTCATGAGTTCCTGGATTATCAATTCAGTTTCCAAGAATCGAATAACGTAGGATGATGCGACGATTCTCTGTAACCTGATTTTCATTCTCTCAGTAGCCATTGAGAGATTGTTTTGTGGTTATGCCTTTGAATCGGAACTCTAGAACTCGCAAACATCAAAATCCTCATTTGGAGCACCTGGAGGTTTGGTTTCTTACATCGGATTGTGTTCGTCCGTACAACATGTCGCATCCTGTTCACTCATTTTGAATCTTATTTACAATTTCATTGCAGAGATTTGTCTGGACAGGATCTTTGTGGTCATGAAGTGGATGCCCTTAAGTTATGCACCATGTCTCTGTAAGTATCATCACTACATATACCGATTCCAGCAAGTATTAAGGATCGCTCATGTTCAGAGGCGACGAAACAGTTTCCTATCCTTTTATCATTTTACAGAAAACCCTTCAAATCTCCACTGGAACGCCGAGAGCAATATAGAAAAGTAAATGTGATCCATCATGTATATGTGTACATATACCTGCCTTTTCCTTAGCCAGTCAACAATCCTTGTATTCCATATGCTGTGTTCTCTAGATAAAGAAAATCAACAGGGTTCCTGTTTCTCCTTAGCTCGAGTCCGAATCCTGAAATGTTGTACCGATTAGAACAAGTGTTACTGTTTGTTTTTTGGGACGTAAGATGTTAGATTTTGTGGATGACCATGAAAAAGCGTATGTATTCCAAGAGCAAGTGCTTACTGCTTGTTCAAGAGCCACTATATCGAGAAGCATGTTCTGCATAGGGGTAACTCTCGAACTCTCATGCTTTCTGGCTTCTACATGAGTAGAGAATAGTGCAGAAACGGGTCGGTGATCGGAAAACCTGCTTTCGCTTCGAGAGTAGGAAAGCTGTTTCACCCCTTTCCCATTCCACAGGATTCTATCACACCTGAATACATACATACATACATATATACATAAATATTTACACCCGCGTGTTATTTCTATTGACTTGATCATACGATTGAGAATTTCGTGGCGAAACCATACATATTGTATATAGGGAAAGCAAACATACCATGCTGGGGTTCTCTGTTTTTCTCCCGTTCTGCTTGCGAGGCCGCCTGAGTATCTGTCGAAATTTAACGAACAGTATTTGTAGGTCGGAGGAAACTCTATGTCCCCTTCTGTCCAGCCTTGGAAAACTCCTCCTTCTTCCTGTTCCCGTCGTAATTGATCAAACCGTTGCAGCGCTTTCCAGTCTTGCCTTTGCACTAGACGCCTTGCTAAATCGTCTTCCATGCATAACCTGTAGTTGAGGTCCCCGAACCAAAATATCCGGCTACTCCACATCACAACATATTAAGGAGATTAGATGTATTGATTGGACTTTGTACCTTCTCCTAAGTGTTTTTCTTTCACCTTGTTGATTTTCCTGTTTACGAAATTTTTCTTCTGTTTTTGCAGAGTAAGCTAGTTTTTGTATTTGTGTTTGCTTGAGGACGGGTGACTTACTCGTGTGCCAAGATGGTGAGAGGTCTGGTTTCGTCTCTCGAGGATCTTGGGAAGCGAGTTCTTCGGAAAATCTCCAAGACTTGGTGGTTCCTTTTCCCTTCATCGCCCTTCTTCTCCCCTGAAGCCAAATGGGCGGTGATGAAGCAATAACTGGTCCCTTCTATCGATAAGCTTATGGATATGGAACCTTTGTTTCCCAGGTAACCCATCAGACCGCAAGCCACCGGACAGAACTTAACGTCGGAAACTTGAAACCTCCTGAATACTTCGTTTCTTATCCACACGCTCAAAAACACGCCTACCATCTTCTTGCTCGCCAGCAGTTTGTATTTGCTTTCCCCAAATAGATTCTCATCCTGGGTTCTTCTCGATCTTTCTCTTTTCAGGCTCCCTGCTCGTGGACTGCTCGAGATGTGATTCAGCATTGGTGCCAACCATGGACAACCATATCTGTAGTTCAGAGCCTTCGCTATCAGCAGATTCCAGTTCTTTGCTTGCCTCGTGTCTTCCACACCGATGACATTCTGTGTCTTTAAAGGTACAACCTCTTGAAATCTTCAAAAAAAACATAACCACTGTTTGAATCATGGTTTCTCTTTTCATTTGTACTTAGAAAGGAAAAAACAGACCTATGATTTCATGTGTGACATACCCGAGAACATACATATCAGCCCCATTCCGCAGATTCAGCCACTCGTCTAAATCCACCGCTAGACTTCCCAATGGAGATCTTCCCCCTACATTCCATGTCCCAATGAATATCCTGAAACATAGACCGGGCTTTTCACTTTAGTCTAGATAGAAACAGACCAAACTGATCGGTAGGCTTTGGGAACTTGCCTTAACTCCTGGCTTAGACAGCAGGAGTCTGTCTCTTTCAGTACACCACGACCATTATCCATCAATCCTTCCTCATTCAGTACCTGGGTGCTATCTGCAGAAACAGAATTCATGGGAAATCACACTGAGAAACACTCTTTCAAATAGGGAAAAAATGAAACAGAGGGATATATCAAGAGACCAACCCGAAATGTCACGCGTCAGTTGATTCCCAGCTTCCTCGTCGTTCCTTGTGAACCATTCCTGAAACATTTGAGATCCCGACCTCTTGGCCTTCCCATTCATCACTTCAATTCGAAGGATGAATCCATTCCATAACCGTCTCTATACCGCCCTTGTATCGATTCTTAACTACTTGCCTCAAAGAAAACAGCAGAGAAGTATCAATTTTCACTGTGCTTCATTTGATGTATCTTGTGGTTCTTTGAGGAACAGGAGGAGGAGCTAAGAGGAAGTATTATATATATATAAGGTTCAAGGAACAGGTAAATGGTTGAATTAGATTGCTTCAGGAGATAAGAAAAATAAGAATACACACACACACACACATATATATAGTACATATATGTGTGTGTGTATATATATGACCCTTCACAAGCATCTGACTTTGTTTGATGATCAAAGTTAGGTGGTTGGTGCTGATCACGTATGTCCCATGAATTTCTACTTTGACAGTGAGAGGATTTAATTATTCACATCTTTTTTCTTTGGGACCAGTATGTAAACTTCTGGACCGAGATTTCACCGTTCATCTCGTTAAAAAAAAAAAAAGAGGCGATATATAGTCTACCATTTACTAAGACATTGCGGTAAAATTGAAAAAAAAAATCATTATCCAAATTTGGATAATCTAGCGACACGAGAACATTCAAAACATGTTCTTATCCCGATTTTAAATCCAAACGTGACGAAATGATATTTATCCGGATTTTTCGATATTCTAGGAGATGTAATTGAAAATCCTGGTGAGCTTTCGAATTATAAAAAATTTGAAAAAAAGGAGGAAAATTATTGGTATGTGCTTATAGGATTAAAGAGATATATGAGATCTCATATGGGTTGAATATTAACAGGTTGTATGGCATGAAGATTCTTGGATCCATTCTTGTTTTAATGCTTTTGTCATAATATTGAGACTAAATGCCAAAGATGTCTCCTTCGATAGCTTCGGACATTGACGGATACTCACAGTATGAGATTGAACTTTCGTGGACCACTCGTGTATATATATATATATATACACACACACGAAATGATTAGTTGGTACAAGTGTAGATGTATCAAATATATATATAGAGAATATTCTAAAATATTATCATAATCTTGTTAGAAAAAAAAATTGAGAACATATAAAAACGGATTAAAGTTCGAAAAACACATAGATTTGTAGAAAACGTTAAGAAATCCGGGTATGAATCCAAGGTTTGTGATCATTTTTGTAAAAATGTTATTTCGTCTCTACAGATTAAATGAGATTTTTTCGGAATAGATTTTTTTAGCTAACAATGAAATTACACGATTTCGAATTATCCTTACAAAAATTATCATACAAAAAATTTGTTTTATAGAAAATTGACATTAAATCTTGGAGAATATTTTCATTCTTCTTTTTCCATGTCTTATGTAGTGATATTATTTATAAAAATTAATAGTTATATATATTAAAGTGCATAATTTTTCATTAAAATCCAACCATAACTTTCGTTACAAGAAAATTTATGATCTTTCAAATGAAAAAGATTATTAAAAAACCTTTAATATACCATTCCATTCCATTCCATGCAACTCTAAAGTATCCAACAAATATTACCTACCATTATATTTCATACATACAAATATTGTAATTCTGCATCACGGTGATGACGTGGAAAATCGGCGATCAAGAATTGCATACGGTTAGTCCATAAGACACGGTTTCATCTCTCCTTTTCTTCTTACACGTTTGCGATTATTGATCATTTCATATCATTACATTACATTGCAAAGACGACAAGGGGATATAAATTATTGAAGGAACGTAACTTTCATATTAGATTGGGGAACACTCTACGGGAGGAAGAGCTAAGAGATAAGACGATGATCTTTGCATGGTGCATGTCGGTATCATAAGAGAGTCTTTATTTTTATTCTTCGATTATTATTTATTTCTTACGGTGAGAAAATTAAATTCGAAAAATAAAATGAAATCGTAGAAGGAAAAAAAAACGTCTGAAAAGCTCTGAACAGCGAGCTGCGCCGTTTTCTTGGAAAAGAAGCAACTTTTCGTCTCCTCAATAACTTATTTCACTACACGAACAGCTCTTTGATCTCTTCCTCGTACTTGTTGAGTTCGATCGCTACAGCTCTTTGATCTTTTCGTCTCCTCAGTAATTATTAAGGTTTAGTCCCGAATTCCACCACAAAAGCTAGCTTAACAGTGGAGGTTTGATCTTTACTTATATATTGGTCCAAATCCCTATCTTTTTCTAATGTGAGACACTTATCAGATTGCTATCAAATGGATTGTAATCCAATCCGACCCAACAGTAAATATAGTTGGGTTGTTTGTTTGGTTCATTTCAATTTCAGGAGTTTAGTGGATTTTTAACCCTTGAATAAAGACTATGGATGAACCATTATACGCCTTAATTATATAGTCATTTGGTTTTGATTCATAACGGAACCGATTCTAATCAAATAACGCGTATCGAATTTATATGATTTCCTTAGAATCGAAAAAAAGAATATGAACCGGAAAAAAGGGGGGAAAAAAACTCTGAGAAATTAAATCCTATTTTACACAAACTTTTTAAAAATAATAAAATTAAATACTGAACTTTTATACTACTTATAAAATCTATCATGAAATTAAACTCTAAACTTTTAAACGATTACCAAAAACCACCATGACATAATGATTTTTGGATACGGTTTGAAAGTTCAAATTTTAATGTAGAAGTTAATAAGAGTTAATTTATATTTTGAAAATTTTATTGTTGGTTATTCATCATAGATTTTTTTTATATAAGTTTGTGTATTAATATGTGATTTAAAAAAGAAAAACGGATTTTTTTGGAATATAAATATTTTATATATAAAAATCGAATCTAAATATAAATCGAATCTAAGTGAATTCAATATAAACATTAAATGTACATAGTTTTCTAAAATAAAAATAATTAAATCTAAATATAATCAAACCGAATCCGAACATAATTCGATATAAAAATTAAATGAATATAATTTCCTTAAAATTAGAAAAACCAAACGTAACTGAATATAAAATAATAGAAAAAAATAAATAAATAAATAAATTGAATACTTATCAATAAAAGTTGAACTGAATAGAACCGAACTAAATCTAAACCAATATAAAAAAAGCTAAATATATATTGTTTTTTCTAAAATATTAATTCAAATTTTTTATAGTATAAGTTTGATTCAGTTGAATTAGAAATTGTGAAATATCACTAATATATTGTTATATGTACCTTTAATCACAAATATTATAGACATAGATTAACTGATTGATTAATTAATCTAGTTGGACTAATAGGATTTAATTGGATATCATGGGTCAAACACATATAATTTTAACATACTATTAATGGTTTTGGTTAATAATTCAATCCGTTAAATCATATAATCTTAAATGGATTGACATTTTCACTTCTCTTGTTGTGCTTGCAGCATGGAGGAAGACAGTTTATATTGAGAAGACACCCATGAGAGCGTTATGGCCCCCCAATGCATTCATCCCTCCCCCCAAAAACACCTCAGTTATCTATTTCTTTGCTGAAAAAAATAAAATAAAAACAGAGAGAATGTCCGAAATGTTACAATCTCAATCTAGAAAGATTGATAATATTTTTAATGATTAAATCAATCTAAAAATGGATGTCCCCTCTCTGTCTGTACCCTCATGTGGTGTTTCTGAAAATGGAAGTAGACCATGAACTGTCCATTTCTCCAAACCAGATGAATCCTCCAAAACCATGTTTGATCTATGATCACTGATGATGAGTCAAAAACATTTGACATGGACAGAACACAGATCTTACCAGGTTTTCTGTCAGTTTTTGATCATTGAATCACACCACGTACGTTTAGAACAAACAAACCAATCAAACTGAACAAACCCCATATGTGGTGTCCCTCTCAAGACATCAATATATGGCTCTGCTTCTCCCCCTCCTCTCTGTATCTCTCTGCTCTGTCCCTTGGCTGTGCAAGAGAGCATAACCAAGAAGCTCAACCCTGAAAAAGCTTAATACATGATTCCCGAACCGAACAGCCAGCTGATTACCAGAGTTCCATTGAAGAAATCTGTTCTCAGAAATCTGATTTCCATTTCTACCATCTCTTCACAGACACGGAGATGAGCTGCACGTTTCACAAACACAGTAGAATCGATTGGACGGAGAACAGATTAGAACAACAATGAAAACACAGAACAAGAAATGTATTAAAGTTGTTTAGCCGAATATGATATAATTCCATGCTCTATAAGGAAGATTACTCAATGTTTTTAGTTGTAAAACTAACTAAAACACTTTGAAAGGGGAAAAAAGAAACCAAATAATGCAATTTCACTGTTCAAAACACGGAAGGAATACATATTAGTCTTTACCAAAAACCATGGAGTTTAGAAATTTCAATGGAAGAATACCATACCTATGAGCCATCTCACTATGAAGGAATTCTGATAGTCCACAACATTCGATGGACCAATGATGCATGGATGCAGTAAAATTTGGTATTCCTTACTCACATTTTGGTTATGTGAACAAGAATACACATGCATAACTATCAACCTGTCTTGTAGGTATATATAGATATATACTCACCTGCCGGGCGACCTGGACTAGCCGCCGAGCTCCCCTTGATGATTCATTTGCCTCTTGCCCATCATTTTCTTTCTCCTCCACCTTCCCCTTTGCCGGAGAAATATTATCATCATTGTCACTTAAAGGTCTCTTCTTCCTTTTCCTTTGGAATGTGTACTTCAGCACTCTATTTCCATCTACTTTCCTTTGAGACTCATTGATTTCACCCGATACACCATTAACTGGGTTCACATCAACCATCTCAGACCCCATTTTGGTCGATGAAACCACTCTGTTTCCACATTTTACCAACGCATCTTTGTTTTCTGATTCCAAGTCTTTTTCTGCTCCAGGTTTTGATTGATTTGTTGCCTTCGAACTGACAGTAAGATTAGTGGTTTCTGAGATTGGAGTCAACCTATTGTCCAAATGAGGAAGCGACTTAATCTTATCCTCTTTTTCAGGGACTTGTGCCTTATCTTCATCAACATTTCCATTAACGTAGAGTAGAGTAGATTCTTGACAAGGAATACTATCCAAAATCTTCATGTTCTTGTTCCATTTTCCATTACGAATGATTGCAATCTTGTCGATGTATTGAGTTCTCTTATGCTGCAAATGTTCTTCTAACCCTTTGCAGGCTTTCATTGCATCCCCGTCCTCACTCTCTTCCG